ATTTTTCTTGTAATAAAGCGTTTCAGAAAAAAGATTTCTTCAGTTTCCGCTTCCACGAAAATCCTCTTTTCCATCAAGCTTAATCTTGAATGTTAAGCTTAATAATTATTCCATATTTCATCAAATAAACTTTTACACTCAATTACAGCTCCAAGTTTGGCACACAACAGAAAAGAACCAGACATTTTACGATGCAACGAGTACGCTTCTTCTGGAGGAGGCGTAAGCCGATGACGGAGCATGATSGGAATGAGATCCATGATGCGACGTGAAGTGTCTTGTCTACCAAAATCGAACGGTTCASGTGTGGCGAATGGCTCTCCAAGGATCATCACTGCATCTGTGTGAGTATTTATCATTAYCTATTGAAAAAGATAAGAACAAAGAAAGACCGTGGTTATGAAAAAAATTGAAATCATTCAACTTTAAGTGAAAAGATTTAATTATTAGCCAACACAAAATAAGGCTAAGTTTACCTATAAAATTACTAAAACAAACGAAAATATAAGCTTACGTTTATTTGAAAAAAAAACACGATCACTATCATGTCATGACTAATTACCTTTGATTCGTAACCTGTAAGAAATGACAGAGCTATTGAGTTGTCAATCACCATTTGACGATCAGMAATAGCACTTCCTCTTATAATCTGGAAATAGATATTGATCCACTTCATAATTCAATACTAGACTAATTTTGCAGAATAAAACAATACAATAATAGARCATCTCAAATTGCAAAAATTCAAGAAGTGAAAGAAAATAGGAGGAAATAAAGGAGTAGATAGCATATAGTCCAAAATTATTAACAGTATGATTACAAGAAATGAATTACACTTAGGACAAAACAAATTGTCAAAGTTGTTACCTTGATATAGTTGTCAACAAATGGTTTTGAATATTCTCTTGCTGCACCAAAGTCTAGCAAATATATCTAAGAAAAATGAAAAGAATTCTCATTCAATCACTGCATTATTTTGCAACTTGATGGAAATGTTTGGTAGCTTGCAGATATTTGAACTGGAAACATGAATCTTACAATATGTAATTTACGTGCATACTTGAACTTGTGATCATAAATATCATATAAATTTGTTTTAATGCATTTTCCTACATGTGATTGTTCATCCAAATGCAGATTTTATCTCCTTATTAGTAGTTTCAGACTACACGCCCAAAAATTACAAAAACCTATTTTGCCTCAAGATAAAATATCATCATTAGAAAATGCAAGTCAGTCATATGGAAATCTAGATGCACAGTATCTAAGTTGCTGATTTCCAAACATGGTCAAAGATTCCATTTTCCATTGTGTGAATTAGACAAYAAACAGGATTTTTGAGACTTCACAGGCATACTCACTTCACTTGATATGGATTGCATTCTTTGATAGTTATTATTTTGTACCTTTTTGGTTTCTGAGTTATAAAAGAAATTTGACCAGTTTGGATCAGTTTGCATGAATCTGTACACAAATAACTCATTGAGGCAAAGCTCCAGGACGTTTCTGCAAACCTAATTGAAACAGAATAATCATTTACATTTTACTCTGTAACTAATCTAAATCTTGCACAACTTCAAAGTGACCTACCTCATTAACAACAYCTTGATTAACATCTGCAATTTTATCTAGTGGAGTTCCTTCAATAAGTTCAGCTGTTAGTACTTGTTTGGAGGTCAGCTCATCAATAACCTCTGGCACATAGAATTGTGGGTGCTGTCCAATTAATTTCCTTAAATTAAAAAAAAAACAATTTTGCATCATAACTTGTTTAATTTAATAATAATATTATTATGTTCAATGGCACCTGACAATACAATCTAAAATAGAARGAAAGGCAAGAAATAAATATTTAGCCATTCCATATGTAAACTGGAAATACCCTAAATAGTGTGGTTAGTCCCTATCTAGATACTATATTTCCCGTAATATAAGCTAGCTTCTACATTAACCAATAGCCTAGTACCTTGTGGTTTTGCTAGCCGTAGTAAGAACACGTCCCGAATCAGAATACCCGGTAGTTAGTTTTTTAGTGCAAGCAATCGACGAGGACACACCTAACAAGGTCTGTAACGTTGTTTTATCTTCCTCGGCAAGCGGGACTGTTATGTAAGTACAACTTTATCCTTTATACTAAGAAGCAAGTTGTCGGCAAGTTTACTAGTTTGTGATATACACGATTAAGCCCATAAGGCGTGTCTCATTGACTCAGTTTAGTTRCTTAGTGATTCATATTCATATTCTTATTGCATCCATGTTTTCTCCTTGTATACTTTGCCAGTATTATCATCACATAGTTATGCTCGCTACATAATTCCTTATATTTTATGCCTGTTTTGCTATWGTGTTATATGTATCGACACTATGGTATGATTGGAATGCATATATCATTCACGGCTTTAGCTTAGATTCTACTTGTATGTATTGATTCTATAGTTTACGACAAGTTCTTGGCAAATAAACGTCACAAGTTCAGTCCGTAAAATATCCCYGTTTGTCGTTTCTATAATTTCTGTGTCTACATGGGCGATATAAGTCGTCGTAGTTAATTTGCCGTGTCGGCCGCTACACCGTAGTAATAGAAACACTCTTTGATCCTCAACAAAAATTTGTATAATTAACTTTGAGGTGGTCATCACAAAAATCAAATCAAAAAGGAGGGTCAACACATTGGTTTCTAGGGTCAGCAATTGAGCAATCCAAAGTTCATCCAATTTCCACGTGTGACCATTAAGCTATTCTTTGACTCAAAATAATAATAAATAATTCTTTATCTCAAAATAAGCTCAGATACATGTACTCCTTTTCAAACTCAGATATATGTTTTTTACTCAATATGAGCAATATAAAAAATAAAAAAATTAGGTTTCCATATTCGTTTAAGCTCTATAGCACATCAAATGGTTGGATGAAGGTCATTTCCTAAAAGTAGCATACACTGTAGTGCGTGCTAGGTTGTCTAAATTTCATGGATTCACAGAACTAAATCTCACTTGAATCGTTTGCTGTTCTCAGCTTCCCTGAGATAATCAACCTCCCACGCAAGCTCTCTTCTAGCCACATCCATTGCTGCTTGAGCAAAATACTCCTCTGGTATCAGCTTTGTTATTTTGAGGACTGTCATCAGATTGTCAATATCACTATTAATRCTTTCTGCCACCCCTGGGTACTGAAAATGGCAAGAAAGACTATAAATGAAAAACATCTAAAAATATATAATTTGTCAATTAAGAGTCCATATTGAATGAATGAACAAATACATGTGAATTCTAAAATGCAAAAGCACTCCAAGTAATTGTATTACTAGAYGTACCATCTAAAATTACATTAATAAAATTACCATGGAAATTGTGCATTACCAATGGAAGTGAAATGAAATGAAATGATCAAACAAAATAAATATTAATAAATTAATGAAAAATAAAAAAGTGCCATGATTTCCTTTTTTCATTTGTAACTGACAGTATAGGTACACCAAACCCAAATCCATGTTTGAGATTTAGATAGTGATGTATCAGTGAAAATGTCTATTTGGTGTTTTACATAGTACTCTAAATGTGCAATACCTGTATTTTAATGGCAACTTGTCTTCCATCATGCAACACACCTTTGTGTACCTGACCAATAGATGCAGCTGCAAAAGGCTTATCATCAAATTCAGCAAGCTTGCTTCTCCAGTCATTTCCAAATTGACTTTTCATAACTTTCTACAAATTTGTCAAAACATTAAAAATCAATAACAAAATTATCAAAAAAGTTTATTGATTATTAAAAAAATGTTTAGAAGTTTCAAATTGGCTTTCAGATTGCACTCTGGTAATAATCATCATCAACATACCTCTAACTGCCACTTTGGCATGAAGTCTGCACTGTTTCGAACTCTTTCAAATATTTTTTGTAGTTCAGGGGGAATGAAGTTATTATCTGTGAGTGAAGTGTTCAATTTTGCAATAATATGTTTATAATTGCTCTCCAAACATTTAGTCAAAGTGAAACTGTCAGTAGTACATTGTACCTTGAATGCTTAACATTTGTCCAAGTTTTAAGGCTGCTCCCCTCATACGACACAGTGTGTTAACTATTTTTTCTAGATTAGCCTCTGTTAAAATTGCACTTCCAGTTCTTTTTGCTATGGCATCAGCTAAAACAGAAATTAAAGTGAAATACAATTAAAAACACAAATAGAACTACCATAAAATAAAATTTCAGTGGTAGACTTGAAAACCAAAAACAAAATGTGCTCCATTTTATCCTCATGAAAGAAAATCATACATTGTGCAAGATCAATAAGAATCATTGATAATAAGACTATTGAAAGAATAAGACTGACAATGGAACATTTTGGTTCATGTAGTTAGAGAYTGCCCATTTGATATTTGTAGGGGTGTTATGATATTCTACATTCCATTTAGTTCATAGTTTGTTTACTTTCAATAGTGTTTATTTATTTAGTGTTCATTGTTTATTATACTTTGCCATGTAAATTATTCTAAAGTAAGTTGTGCAATCCGAACATGGCTTGGGAAGAAGAATACACTGATCGTCGTGGTGAATGGAACTGCTCTAGGAACCCCTTCTAGACGAAAGAATCCGTATTCAACTTATAAAACTCCTTCATACAAAACTAATGCACAAGTGGTGTACCAGAATGGTGTACAAGCTAGTGTACAAAGATAGTTAGACTGAAGTGTCGAAGTAATGAAGTACTGAGAAAACCCTAAAAGATGAGAGTTCTTAAGGACTGAAACTGAACTGAAGTCAAAGAACTGAATAACCACAGAAGGACCACTCTGAAAAGTGTTTGAATTTGCAATCCCAAGTAAAGCAAGCTGGAAATAAACGTAATAAAACAAATAGACAAAAAATACTGTATTGAACTGTGCACTAAGGACTCAAACAAAATTGTAAGAAAAAAATTATCTTATTTGCGTATTATTCCACTTAATAGTATTTGTAATAGTATTTATTTTATAGTATTTATAAGAATAGCGTAAGTAAATTGATGGTTCCTCTTAAAGGACAAATTGAATTTTTCATTAGACACGATTATCAGTCTATCRATATTTATAGTGATTATAGCTAATTTATATAAAATACAAGTTTAGAAATTGCCTCTTAATAAACAAGATAAATATAGCTGTTAAAATAGAAATTACTGTACTTAATAATTTAGTAGTACAGTATTCAGAAGTACCATACTATGTCTATTGTTTATACTCCTACAATCATTCATACACGACTTTCACAATGGCTGACACTAATTAGCATATTATTGTTAAATTCAAAATGTTAGGAAACACTCAGATGATAGATGTCAAAGCTAAAGATAAGCTCTGAAAGTTTCAAAGAAAAATATTAAATCCTCTGGAAGTTATAATATGGTTGGAAGATGCACAAAAACACCAAAACGAGGCCACCAAGGCCTTAGTAAAGAATTGCGAGGTGATCGGCGCGCATGCACAAGGAACACCTGGTGGATTCAATGAAGGCACCATGATCATGATTCCGCGCGCACATTATAATCGTGGTCTAGAAGAAGAATTCGATCATCTACTGCGCAAAGGGCAAAATTTAATTGTTTAACTTAAGAAAGTTTTGATTAATTCTAAGTGCTGGACTTAACTGAGGGAACTAAAAAAAGGGAACTTGAAGCATGTAACTCAAAGATTGCCAACATAATTGTCAGACCTTTATCCTCTAAACCAAGTTGTCGTTTTGTAACTTCATTTAATGCCCCAAGCCCAACACTAGCAACAAGCCCTATAAACAACAACAAATAAAATGGATGAATGAGAAAAGACTAGTAGATAATCAATATTTAAGCATATGGTTGAGTGAATAAATGCAAGATGCCATGGTTAAAGAATAGATTCATAAATGAAAAAATGGATGAGCAGACAGATGGAGGGACAGGTCACAGGCGTATCCACTGGGACAGTTATTTAAAGCATYTTTGGTTATAAACATTTGAACAGTTATGGCCAAACCAACTAACAGTACATACCAAATCAYAAGCTATCAAGACTTTAAAAAATGGGCATTTAGCACTAGATATGATCATAAAATAACTATTATACATGTATAACATGTGCATTGATTGGTTGAAATGTGTSTTTCTGTAAGAGCATAGAAACACAGCTTAGTTTCAAGCAAAGAGTTGTTGTTATATTTGTATTTAWTATTTATTTTGTGTGTTACTTTTCATTCCCTGTAAGAAACACTTGGGATTGTTGGGAGAACACTCGAAAAGCTTTCTTTTTCCTTACTGTACTTAATTCAGCTCATGATTGAAAATCTTACTGGTGTCACCAACAATCGTGAAAGTTTCTAACAGAGATATTTTCTAAATGCTTAATAACATGTCTTTATTTGGATACTGTAGATGAAAAGGATGAATTTCACAAACAATTGATTATTCTCTTACCACTAAAGTTTAACAGCCTACTAACTCTTGATGACGGCACAGCTCTTTCTTGAGATCTAGAACTTAACTGAATGGCAAAAACAAAGCTTTTGTTAATATGATCATAATTTCATTTCTTCRATACATTCACAATAAGCTTTATTCTCTTGTTCTATGATAAACAAAAACATAATAAACTTTGTGTCCTATATTTTTGGTGAATTCATACTTTGTGTGATCCTAGCTGACAATATCTGGCCCACCTGGTCCTGGTAACTCCTGGGGGGGGGGGATGGGGGGAAGGAGGAGTTACTCCCTCCAAACTTGGGTGGTGGTGTGCCGCTGGGACCTCAAAACCCTGACACTGTTCCAGAGTAAAATCGCTGAAAACAACAAACAACCCTGGTTGGCGGCATGTCCCCGTATAGTGAATATAGGGTGGTAACTGCTATGGGGTGCAGTCAGTTCTAAGAAGTTCAATGCTCAATTTTTTATGATGCCTCCCTATTTTTACACATAGTAGTACAAAACATTTGATTGAAATTATACTCCAATTTTGCACCATGCCCCTAGTGAGAAAATTTATGTCCAGTCACTTAAATAAGGTATTATAAAATTTTTGATATATAAYGCACGCTTTGATTGGCTGACGACCGTRTTTATATCAGAGGACAGAGACACGGCTTACCAGCAAAATTTGCTTTTCGCTCAAAAAATKTTATAAAAGAAATATAAAACRGCCGCTTGTGTCTTTGTCCTCTGATATAAACAYGGTGGGAGTTGAAGAACACTCGAGAAGCAAAAGAAACACTCRCTACGCTCGTGTTCSTAASCTTGCTTCTCTCATGTTTTTTGAACTCCCACCGTGTTTATATCAGAGGACTGAGAGACACACRCGTTGTTCTTAAATACACTCACGTTTTTCAATGTAAGCATTGATAACTTTTCAGAATAATGTGAACTCTTTGGAACAACAGTTAATTCCAAGTTTTGAGAATATACAGAAAAACAGTAATTGCAYCATAATCATCATGTGTAATCATCCTTGGTTTGTTGTATGTAATGGTATAATGATATTAACAGAGGTACAGTAGATTTATCATTATCAGTTATATCAGTTACCTTTTGAGATTTTTTCTTTTTAGCTTTACTTGATGAACTATGCGATTTTACTTTCTTTGAACTGTTGGACACATTATCTCTAGTCTCCACAAAAGAAATACTGGAAGTTCCAAATAACCTAAGACCTGTACCACAACACTTGCCCCACTTGTACACGCCTGCTGCTGCCGTATTTAAAGAACGTCCACTGAGGCAAGAAAGCCATCCATTGGGGCAGGAGAGCATGGAGTTCGTACACACTCTGTTTTTTTCCTGTAGAAATTTGCTGGATGAAACGTTCGAGAACGTAATAGCGCTTAAGGTTGCACTAGAGTGCGTAGGTCGACTTCTACTTTGGAGTAACCTCGTTTTGAAACCACAGTTCCTAACTATAAGGAATTCACTGCATTGAGCCATTAYGTCAAGCTAATAAAGAACTTTGAGTTAAAGTATTTCGCAGCCTTCATTAAAGGTTATTTTGAATGAAATTTATAACCTGACCACGCGTTTAGTCGCCATCGTCCGCCATGTTACGTAAGTGAACAATCCTTCTCGGTTGTATAGGAAACAGGAAGCCCATATTGCCTTTAGAAAAATTTAATTATTTCGCGTGATAATCAAAATGAGTTTTGATTACTGTACAAAAACAGAGTCGGGCATAATCATTATTTTTGTGTAAGCAGAATAGTTGAGCTAGTAATTTGCATTCTTACTGTTATTYTTAATACTGTCTGCGGGTTCTTGTCATCTTCAATCATATAAGCTTACATTGCAAAGGAGTATTTTCCTTTTCTGACCAAAGAGAGTCGCTGCAGTATGTCAAACAGGTCAAAATAAAACAAGGAGGTCGTGCACAATTTCATCAAGAAATTAACTGTTTTTCTTTTTCTTATTAGCTATATAAATGTACAAAATACTCTCAGGAATGTGTCTCGATTTTATTATTAGCAATAATTGGCTAGTTTTTATAAAAAGTCGTAAAAATGGTTGCGTAGAAATGCAGCATGAAAAATTGTCAGGCATTAATTTTTAAAAATAGCTGTGCTTGATGAAGCAATACATTCGAGTCAAAATAATTACATAGATCGATTGTTTTCATCTCCAATGTGCAGGTAAGATTTACACATCTCTAAATCCCCGAAACAGAATATCCAAGTATATTTTATTTACACAACTTGTCATAAACAACTTTTCTATGGTGTTGACGGTACTGTGATTGGCTGAGATGGTGAGTCAGACTGAGTCTCGCATTACGATTGGTCAAAGGTACTTCGTGGACCCTGCGGCGTATTTAGAACCGTGCGAAACTTCAACATAAAGTGGTTTATATGTATGAAAATTGACGAAACAGCTGTATGAGCAGATAACTCTTCATTCAAGATCTATGGCGTAGTGCAAGGGCTTTTTATTTTAAATTAGGCGTTGAAAGAGTTGGATTTACAAGCAAAATGAGTGGTGTTGAAGAGGAAAGCGCYGAGGGTGCGAACTTGTCGCGAAGCAACACGAATATCAAAGACGACAAGATCGTTACAATGGAAGAACATCAAAAGATTTTAGAAAAACTTCGGCAGTGTGAGGACGAAAAGATGAAAATTATGAAAGATCACGGGGACTTAATAAAGGAGTTCAATAAGAGAATGCATGTTCACCTTGAAGAGATTCGATTGTTGAAGGAAGTCAACCATAAACTTCAAGCGGATATGCAAGAACTCAGAGACTTATGTTGTTACTTGGATGACGATCGGCATAAATGTCGTAAACTTGCGAGAGAATGGCAGCGATTTGGCCGACATACCACCACTGTGATGAAAAATGAAATAACAGACTACCAAGAGAGAATTAAATTTCTTGAAGATCGTCAAGCTAGGCTATCATCGAATAATAACGAACTCAAAGAATTGTGTCTGTATCTTGATCAACAACGCGATGCTCTGACTAAGAATTCAGACGTTTGTAGCAAATGTTCTATATCAACAGACAGTGCATCAAGCTCACCGAATGGAAATAGTGTCCATGACATTTTAAGAGGTATTTTTAACTGTTRTATACCATACTATAATTACAAAAAACCGCACRCTGGAAGGCAGTGATACGGAACCTATTTTGATCGATGTCAAGAGTTCAATACCGATATAATGACTCTAGGCTTTKGAATAAAATGTCTCGTTTCGTGAGTATTTCTCACGCATGCAAGCGTTTTCAAGGCCCTCTCACATCCACGATGTCTGAAGAATATTTTATTGTAATTTGTTCAACTTTTACGGTTGAGAGATTATACGAGAGTTACAATTTTGGAATACTACGTTGCTCGTCCCCCGCGTCGAATGTATCCAAACATTTTACGTGCAGAATGAATCGTGTAATTAATATCTTGCTTTTCTAATTTTATTTCTATAGAAAAAGGCGTCAGATACTCAGAAAAGCTTGAATCAAGACTAAGTTCCATTGGATTGGAGAGAAGAAACTCATTTTCTAAAGTAAGTGCGAATATTTTCTTCTATTGTTCTTTCTTCTCTTATAATCCATAAATCATTCACGCACGTAACAAGGCCGGAGTTATTACATATTTTGTGTACGCTCTTAATTCATTTTATTGCCATATATTTGATATTTTGGATGGTAATTTGTCGTAGCGTCGTCTTCCGAAGATTTGTATTACCATGTTACAATAGAAAACTTATCAATGACGAATCAAAGAACGATGCGTACAAATGATAACGCTCACTTAACTTTTTGAAAAGAATGAAAAAACGATATACCCATTTACAGTCGTAAAAATTCTATCTTAAGAGCTTTCAGTGTATTCCTCAGACCACAGAAATGGCTGTAAGTGAGTGCCTATAAGTGACTAAGATTTATTAGGGGTTGGCTTGTCATTGTACCCGTTATCTACGATTGCCATTGTTTGTGTAGATCCAGGTGATTATTAACCCTGCCATATCTTTGGAGTACCCTTTCTTTGTCTCTCTAATTTGTCTTTGTGCTCGGTATATGATGCACAGATGGCACGAAGAGAAGACTCCTCAAAGTATCCCTAGTTTTAAAGTATTAYGGTGTAGAAGGATTAGTCTGTCATAATTCTATTTTCTATATATAGATTAATTCTCTAAAATACTATCAATTAACTGTGAAATACCATAACATGTACATTTGAGTTTTTGATCATTGCATATAGAACTGGTACCCTGAAAAATAGTTGACACACTTTAGAATTCTTAAACTGACAGGTTTCTCTGTTGGGCAGACAGCTCTCTTTTATGTTGTCTCCACATGACATTTTTCCCCCCACTAAAATATGTTTTGTTGTTGTTTTCGTGAGCTCTTTGTTTGAACAATTTAAAGAATGTCCTAGTAGCTAGGGAAGCTGTATTTGCCTTATGAAAACTTGTTAAACCTTCTCAAAGTATTGAATCAGAGGTAGCTGTAAGATGATCAGTCAATATGTACAGCTACAAATGTATGATACAAAGTTAAACCTCATGTAGTTCTTTGCTTAACATATTGCTGGATATATGAATGCTATAGTGCTAACTATATACAAGGATAAGGCTGACAGGATCACTTGAGTAATTAACATCTCCTAACAAAGACAACTATGTGTAAAATGCAGTAATGTTCTGTAATATTTTCTTTGTCTCACTTTAGAAGTGACATGTTTCAATATTAAGACAAAAAAAYACTAGCCTTAACACTGTTAAAGACTAATTGTCACCCTGCAGTGTACATGTGTTTTTACATGAAGCTAGTCTGAAAAATGTATATATTATTATAGGCCAAGAATACTTGAGTTTGTGAATTTATGTACATTATTTACTTAAGCCTTTTACCTTTTGAAGTCCCATCAAAACCAAGCAATCTTCTTTGAGACATGTCGCATGTGTGTATTAACTTATTAATATTGAAATTATTATTTTACATGGGAGAAATAGAAAAGATTGCTAAAAGCAGAGGAGATTGGATTTTCTTGGTGAAGGCGCTGTGTGCCGTCCTATATATAGGGACTATACAGAGAAGAAGATTATTTTACATAAATCATGACATATCAAAGCATTCTCATACCCAGACCCTACTCTAGCTTTTATGGCCTATCATAGACCCTGGAAGCAAGATTTAGCTGACACTGATCTACTGTAAGCAATCTGTCCAGACTCTTTTTTCAAGTATAAATCACTTTAAAGGGCTAACATGGACGAAAATCGTGAAACATTAGAAAAGACTTGTAAATCAAATAGAACTATCCATATTTGGGTCTATAATAATCATGAAGTAACAGATTTTAAGAAGATATTGATACAAATCCTTAATAATTTGGGCAAAAAATGTTGGAGTAGATGACGTCATTTACTCCATCCTTTTGTTCTTCCATCTTTTGAATCAAAATTTCTCTGATGTGGGACAATTCCAAAACAAAGATTTTCCTGCAATTGCTTTTAATAGATATGTGTGATCAAAAGTCACATATTTGTATTGCTTGAAGTTTTGAAATAAGGCCATTTTCATGCAAGTAGCACTTTAAGAGATAGGTTATCCACAGCCTGGGTTTCCTTTGGCACTAAAATAACCATTGATACAGCATTTGTTCTAAAATATCATTTGTAGACATCATTTTGTTGATTGGTGCTTCAGGGAAAATATTCAGTTGTAATGTATTTTTACAGTCAAATGTGTACATTTTTTGCACCATGCAAAGTTCGATATAGCAAAGAATATTTATAAAACAGGTCATAATTAACTAGCTAATAGGATTTTGTCAATACTGTGTACAAGAAAACATTTTAAAAATATCTACAATTTGTATTAATATTATATTCTTTGAATTTCTGACCTAACATCAAAAATACCACCAATGTTCTTTTGTGATTTCAATAGCCAGTCTGCATGTGGATTGAAATGACAGTGTAGTACGTGTCCCAGAGGATGTTAATTTCAGTTGGAAAATGAAAAGGGTTGAGAATTGACATCATCATGGTCAATATACATGTAGTCACAGGCATTTAGCAGCCAATGCATTGATATGGCATTTCTGAATCCAACAAAGGTTGTCTATTTGGTGTATTTACAAAACACTGTGGTGTGTCTTCTAATTGAACTTGTTTGTTATTCAGGAGGGAGCATCATATCTAAAAAGTAGAAAAAAGAGAGTGTCATTTACATTTCCAGAAGAAGTTGACACAGTAAGTACTAATTTTATTATTAAGAAGTGAATTTGTAAGGAAAATTNGACCTAACATCAAAAATACCACCAATGTTCTTTTGTGATTTCAATAGCCAGTCTGCATGTGGATTGAAATGACAGTGTAGTACGTGTCCCAGAGGATGTTAATTTCAGTTGGAAAATGAAAAGGGTTGAGAATTGACATCATCATGGTCAATATACATGTAGTCACAGGCATTTAGCAGCCAATGCATGATATGGCATTTCTGAATCCAACAAAGGTTGTCTATTTGGTGTATTTACAAAACACTGTGGTATGTTTTCTAATTGAACTTGTTTGTTATTCAGGAGGGAGCATCATATCTAAAAAGTAGAAAAAAGAGAGTGTCATTTACATTTCCAGAAGAAGTTGACACAGTAAGTACTAATTTTATTATTAAGAAGTGAATTTGTAAGGAAAATTGAAAAAAGTTGTTTTGAGTGGGTCATACATAGTGAAATTGGATTGCTTAGGCTGTATAGAATTAGGAGTTCTCTAAGTGTTTTTTCCTCCTTTATGCTCTGCTAAAGATATCAGAGGAATGAATATACATGTATACAATAAATATACTATATTACATACTTAAAAGCGTGGCTGTTTTTAGACATCAGATAGTCATAACCAGATAAGTACTGTGTCCTCACTGTATTGTACAACTGAATGTCCTTTTAATAAAGCACTGATTATACTGCTATGTCCTACATTAGTACAATCCTATCACTAATTTGATATGCATGCGCCAAAGTCTTTATCTTATCTTTAGCAAATCATACTAGGCCAAATTTGCTAAAGTGCGAGCAATTGTATCCCATATTAATTATAATGAMATGAATGAGTGAATCAATTATAAATCTATTTATAACAGGATACTGACAGTGCTGATAGCTTTACTCGAACAAATGGTTATAAAGGTTAGTACACTGGTGCAATGTAGGCTATAATTGAAAAAATCCTACATGACCATATAATACAAAATATAGTGTTATTTCATGTACAAGTTTAGAGACATCTATATTAATTGGCTTTATTCTCACCAAAAGGCAATTTTTTGAAATGTTGAAAGATAGGGATAATGTGCAGTTTTGGGGATGTTGCTGTAGCACGTCCCGTGCTTTCTTTGATTTTTGCCACTCTATTTTATCAGACCGACAAAATGACAATATAATATTATGATTGCTCAATTCACAGATGGTTCATATCCAAGTAGTGGCATTTTAAGAAATGGAGTTCAACATCATACTAAAAAGGTAAAAGTAYCGGGGATGCTCGTCGGATCTCTTAGATGTAAAAATTCGTGATTGGAAATCTTTTAGGGTGCCAATTTCAAGTTTCTGGAAATTTGCATTTTCTGCCGGGAGTCTCTTAGGGTGTCGGAAAAGAAGAGAAAGAGTGTATCGATATTGATTTTCCTCTGCGTTTTGTTTTGTCATTAGATATTTTTTAATTATTTAATTTATAATTGGATTTGATTTAATTAACAATATTTGTTGTGCAATCTCTTAGTGGTTAAAAATCAGTCAGGCACAAGACTTCCAGAATCTTGCAAATTTTTTTCAAAAAGATTTTCCATTTTTTTACAATCTTTTTTAAAAAGTTTTAGAATTTTTTTTGCAAAGAGACCTGTGAGCAGCACTCTGGATGATGCTCCTTTGGTTTCGTCCAGCAATGTAGACTTCAGTTCTGCCACAATTCTAATGGATGGCTCTATTAGATGCTGCATATGAGTGGGGCATCTATTTGAGGAAATAATGATTTTATRATTATTATTAAAGAGAAGTCTATTTCAAGTTGAAACCAGCATTTGGAATTTATTTTCTTCTAGAGCAACATTCTTTTAGTTTGGAAGTCTGACAGTTCTTTTTTGCTCTCATCAGCTGTTAGATTCTGACCATGAGGAGGACAGGGCATTGATGTTGAAATAGAAGCTTAACTCTGGTTAAAATCATCATTGAATAAACAAAAATGAACACAACATTTATATATTGAGATTCGTTACTGTTTGCAAGTAAAAATATAGTGCAATATAAAGTACGGTRTTTAGTACTGAAGAAGTGCTGCCGCACTCGAATAAATCCCGCAGCTGTAATGTGAGAAATGAAATAAATACCACGTGTCTATTTAAGTAAAATGGTACATGCCTTTGTTTATCGTTTATTTATTYGCTCTAATGACAATGCTAATAACAGCAATAGGTGTAATTGTTTTTAAGAGATGCAAAAATATGAATTAGAAATTAATTTGCAAGGAATTATTTTAATTACTAAAAATGCCTTTTTTGATTGACTTGAATATTTGAGTGTTTTCATATAGGTAGACCAACACATTATGTACTGAATATGCATTTCTAATAGCTTTCTAAATATTTTACAGGGAGGTTTGTCATTCTCTAATAACAATAATAACATGACCCCAGAAGCAGTAGCACAAGCAATGAAAGTTTTAGAAATCCATGATAAACTAGAAGACCAAACCAAGACTACTACTACTACTACTACTACAGAAAAAACAGAAAAGTTAGATGAGAATGAAGTAGCAGTCTTGAAGGAAATGTGTAATGTGAGTATTTTACAGTAATTCATTTTCATTCATTTTCCATTCTAAGCTACAATCACAACTGAATTGCATGACTTAAATGTACAGAATTGAAAAAGTAATTTGTTTTCATCGTAGGTTGTATGGAGAAAGTTATCAAATGGAAAAGAACCTGATTGTAACAAAGTCAATGGACATGGTGAGCCACAAGGAGAAATTTTACAGGACTTGCTATAATGATTAACAACATATAATAATCACCATAGACAAGGTAATGGATGTGGCAAACAAGGAAAAATCTAAGACTTGCTATTATTAACACTATATATCAAATGACTAAATATAAGCAATGCCAACAAAGTCAATGGGATGGCAAACAACAACAGGAGATGGTGTCGTGATGAACACAGTATGTTACCAGACATTTGCAATGGAAACAAACATGYAAACAGGGAGGAATTTTACAAGACTTGGTATGATTTATGACACCACTGATAATAGTACAAATAGACAATGCAATGGAAATGGCAAGAAGAAGTCTTAGCTCTGATTAAGACAACAACATCAATTAAGGTTGTCAGGTGTGCACAATGTATTGGTGTGGTCAGTCATTGTTATACAACATTTCAAATATGCCACCCAGAGGCTATTTTATTAAATATGCATATTGCATCCCTACAGAAACTGTTCCAAAATGAAACATTGCCAGGAATGGACAATTCCTAACACTGGATGGTCAGTTGACTTTATTGTCCTAACAAAATCAAGCATCGTGTGTCATAYATTTAATTCCATTAGTGAAGAGGAATTTTCAGTAATAGCAAAACTAGCTAATATTGTTTCATCTTGCAATGGAAATGCAGAGGACTGGTTAATTTTAATTTCTGAAGCTTTTAGCTATTTTTGTTTGATTATGATTAAATTACCCTAAAAATGATCCATTCTGAAATAATTCTGATATTCAAGATATACTGTCACATGACCTGTTGATGGATTTAATCACGCCATCACTTCAAGTCTGAATGTCCAAAAGCCACTCCCAATGATAATGAAAGTAATATTATTAAGATATTATATGTTTTTGCAATAAAGGAATATCTATATTTCCATGATCACTGAGCTACAGCATAGATAATACAAACATGATTGTTTTTATTATCCATGGCTGCAGCAAAAAATATACAATTTAAGATTTATGAATAATAATTGAATAATAATTGAATAGTAATCTACAATTATTATTATTATGAAGTACTGTTTAATAAAAATACTTAAATAATACAGATATTTGTTACTTTTTTTTGTCCCTACAATTATTAAAATATTCTTAGTTTACAGATTTGTCTGATTGCTCCTTTTTTGTTATTATTAATTTTTTTTAGCAATCATTTTATTAAAAAATACTCTGCAAACACGCTGTTCCTATCCACTCAATCTTCCTTCTCTGTTTGTTTGCCAGGGTACATCAAAATGTTCTCTATATTTTCAGAAGAACAGGCATTCTCGTACCCAGACTCTCCCTAGTTTTCTAAAGGAAGATCAATTTTCGATACCCAGACCCTCCTCGGCCTTTTTGATTTTCCTTTAGGAAGCTGATAAGGATCTGGATACAATAATGGCATTAACAAAAAATAATATGCATATTGATGACTATTGCAGTGGCAGCGACAACTAACTGCATTTATAATACAAACAAAATAGCTAACATAACCTAACATAGAATGCAGTGCATTGTGCAAAACTCAAATTAATTGATAGTTCTAACGCTAACAGTTCTTTAACACAACAACCTATTAAGAATAAGGTTTTGAGATATATCTACTCTATACATGCACGTAATATAGGAAGATTTACAGATATTTACATCAATTGCTCATGCATGTTAAATGGAGTTATTTTCTCCCATAAAAATATGCCATGTTATTGAGGTTTGGACTGAAGTCATTGTTGTGAGTAAAAATTATTCCTTTTTTGCTCAATTTCTCCAAGACCCTTTCTACATGTATTAGCCCATTCCATACAACTGTTGGTGGTGTGGAAAGGGCCCAGAAAAACTTGCATGCGCATGCATTGGATTACACCACATGGTGTGACCAGGCCACTATAAGCTAAGCAAGTCGATCATGTGGCGATTGTCATGTTGTAGTTTTGTATTTAATGAAGTTTGCAACATATAAATTTGTRCAAAGTTTCAGTTAAAAAAAGGAAACAATGTCTTRTCAAATTGGACAMTGGATAGGACAAGTCATTTTCAAATTTCAGGCATTTGCATATATTTGTGAACAATCTGGACTTTCATTGTTTTACATAAACATATGAATGAGGTCTTATTCCTTCAAACAAATACTGTTAATTGCTACTACAGAAGAATCAGCACACAATTGTTTTTTTATGTGTTTAAGTTCATGGACCCTTTTTCCTACCACCAACAGTTCAACGGAGCAAGATATAAAGGGTCTGGAACTTGACTATCAATGTAGAATGATGACTCCCATAATAGCTTTTACACTACCGTCTAGCTCCCATTATGCTAAAAAACGAATTACATGCTTTTATAAGTTACTTATCGAGGCATCCACCCACCCCTCATGGGAGGTTGATTTTGAGGGGGAACACCAAACTGTCTTGGCCAAGTAAACTCTGCCCTTGAATGGGGGTGCCCCTGGGGCATTTGCAGCAATTGTGCTGGTGGCACAGGTGGAGGRTGTCTTGGCTGTGGAGGTTGACCCATCCCACGAGCTGGGTCACCACCAAAACTGCTTGGGTTCTGAACTGCGCCTAGGTTACCAGGTGGTATTCCATACATATTTCCTCCACTGGGCATGGGAGGATACCCTGAAGGCTGTGGAGCTTGAAGTTGTGCTGGAGGGTACTGCATAGGTAGTGTTACTCCTTGTGTTGTTGAAATATAACTTTGCCCTGTATAAAGAGTGCCCATGGGTAACCCCTGTGAACCCTGATAATGTAAATTTGTCATGTAAGACCCCACAGTAACTAGTGGTACACCCGACATTGTTGCACCATACATAGAATTTGTGAATTGTGTATTTGTTAGTGTGGTGCTTATTGAAGACACRTCAGAGCTTGCTTTGCTCTTGAATGAAGTATCCAATGTTTGGACAAGCCTTGAAGGCTCCATGGTTGTGGTAGGGGGTTGTCTTGTTGACAATGGTGGAACTGGACTTATGTTCTCAACCTGTAGTTGTGTTGATGAGCTGACTGAGGGTGGTATAGCTGAAGGTAAAGGTGCTTGCTTGATTTCTGTCTTAGAATCTAAAATGAATAAGCATGCATGAGTAAATTGAAAAACCTCAAAATAGTATTTGAATACTGCTACATTACATGCATAACTGATAAGTGATATTGATCTTATTTTGATTCATATAACAATGACTTACCTGCTTTTGGCTTTGACTCTACTGGCAATGGAAGTTGCTTCTGTGGATTATAATATTTGATTAAATTAGAACTATTTGAAGAAATCACTATTATAGTGTTCATATATTATTTTTTTCTATTTTAGCTTGACGTTTTGATAAACAGCCATTGTTTTATATGCCTTGGACAGAATTTATTAAGTAACCAGCAGCTTACTGGAGATTAGATTAGAAATAAAAGACGTTCCTGGGGCAGTCTGCTAAAAATATTTCTTCTAATAAATACTACAATAGTAAGGGGTGTTTCCAGAGTCATTCCTTATTCAATCAAAAACAACACAACATTATTTTGTTTGTTTTAGTTTTGAATGGCATAACTTGATGAAATAGTTGGTAAGCACATTTCTGTTTAATAATGTTCTTTTTTCCAGAAAGGGAAAGCAAATATTTACACTTAATTAATAATGTATAATGTCATTAGCCAATGATATACTGAGAATCTAATCATGTGATTATATCTTAGCACAACAAACTTATTGTATATTTTCTGACTGTCGACACGTACTCAGTGGAAATTATCTTTTTTTTAAAAAACCTTCTTACAATTGTACAATATCCTCCAAAGAATAGAATTTTAAAGACATTTTGCTCGTCGTACATTGTAGAAGTAGCCTCCTTCGCAGCCTCCCCTTTTATCGTCAGGAAGCCCAACAAAAGGGGAGGCTGCAAAGGAGACTATTGTAGAGAAGCAGTTTTATCGGTTATGACACAAAACCCAACATTGGATCTGGCATTGCATAAAACCTATAAAATAGTCATGAAGTAATAGCTAGYGGTCACATGTTCTAGAGGTAAAGTCTTTGCCGTTGAGACGAGAATTTTTTTTACCTTGAAAAAAAAAGGTGTAGGAAGACCGTGAAGATGAATTTCCAGCAGATATGAATAAATTAGTTAATAGGTCAAAAAATAGCAGTGTACTTAGTCAACAAAGCAGTTTACAGGAAAGTGAGTGACTGACTGGGTGACTTAGTAGGTGACAGATTGTTCCCTTACAATAACTCTTTGATTGCTAACACAATGTCAGAGTTAACAATCTTTTCAATTATAAAGCTGGTAATAATGCTCATTAAATACCAGCATTTTTAAGAATGACTCAAATAAATTTACAAATTAAATGTAAACAAAATATTCTGTCAATGTGGACAAAATKTTATGCAATTTTTCCAAAGCTTGTTCATAAATTAAAGTTACCATTACCGTAAATGATCTAATAAATCCTGGGCTGGGGCATTTATTAAAATAATTTCAATGGTCCAAAGGGGGGCGTTAAATAAACAGGAGGCGTTTATTAGAGAGAGGCGTTAATTCTAAAATAATACTCGATCAATGTAATGTACCGCGTGTTATGATTTATAACTTCAATCTACCTAAAAAAAGGGAAAAAGGCCTTGTAGTTCCTGGGCGCTACACTGATAGGACAAAACGCAAAAATTGCTAATATACTAAACAATGAAATCAGAAAAATTACAAAACRCTATTCTCATTTTGAACTAGAAAATGAACAAGACGTTACTCACCAGTGTTAATGAAGCAAGAAGACAATTAAATTTATTTATGTTACCGGCATTCCTATCATTTGTTTCTAGTGATGGATGGCAGCACAGAGGGAAGGGGRGAGGGCTTTTATAGATAGGGGCGTTTGTTAGAGAGGGGCGTTTGTTAGAGAGGGGCGTTTAATACAAACTTGTAAGCACAGGGGGGCCTTCATTAGATAGGAGGCGTTCATTAGAGAGTGGGTGTTTATYAGATCATTTACGGTATGAGAGTTTCCCACATTCAACCTAGGCTACTACAGTACTTTCTGATTTTCTCTCAGGATAATGCATGGTGTGGTAGAGATTTATTATTTTTATGACTATTAATTTTAATGTCCTCACTAAATAATTCATTGGTTGCAGTTGTTGTCTCACCCTTTTTTTGACTGGTGGACTGTAAGTAACTGATGGACTTGAGGCAGCCGATGAGCCTGCACTTGTATCTTCAAGAATTCTTTCTTTTTCTTTTTCCTTTTTCTTGTAACCATAAAAAACCAGCATGAGATCGATAATTTCTGATGGAAAAATACCAACACAATACCCAATTAGGAATGTTAAATTAAATACCAGTAAATCCAAAGTACCATTTTTATACTAACATACCATTGACAGTAACTTCAGAGACATTCTTTGCAAATGATGTCCACCAATGTTTTGCTTGTGATCCTGTAGCTGACTGGAGGTCATGATTATTGAGCTTTGCAGCAAGAGCAAGCATTGACACTGCAATAACTTCAGGTCTGTACTTCAGACAAAGGGTCGTTGACAAGCTTTGATCAAATGAAAATTATCATTTATCATAACAAAATTGTTCTTTCAAAATATTAGATGATATTTGGTTACATGTAGCTAAGGACTGCTGACAATGATAAATGTCTTGAGGATTCATCACTRTTTTTTATGTTGTAAAATACCTGTCATTGATGAAGGTCCAGGCCATTTGCACCAATTTATTCAATTTTTCTCTATCTCCTTAAAAAAAATTATTATGCAAAGAAAGATTTAAATTACTAAAGAGAGCTGGAGTTTGTTCATGATATCTTCTGGATTTTTTGCTCAATAATCATGACTTTGTAAAGTAGCTTTTTCATATTACATGCAATACGAATTAATTACTAAATCCTAAATTGTAAGTTCAGATGATACTGTAATAGAACAATGCAATAGAAATGGTATTGCAGCTTTATAATTAATTTCACATTCATTTACTTGAAGATTTTGTAGCCACTTAATTTATATTTAAAAAGTTCTATTATTGTGATTATACATGACTTGTACATCACATCAGACTTGCTCAAAACTAATGAAGAAGTGAGTGGTGGTTGTAAGAGGAGTGTTGTGTACCTTTCAATGCTTTTCCAAATTTCAGTAGACATGAGTAAGGGTGATCCACTTGTAAGTCAAACTTGATTGTTTGAAGAAGAACTCTTTCATAGATCATCACTTCTTCCTGCATAAGAATAAAAATGCTATATACAATGTTCTTAGTATCAAAAATAAGGATGGATTATTACAACAATGATATCCCATAGTACACTGCAAGACATATTAATAGACCATCAGTCCTTTGTCACAGTTCCTCRATGCATATCTCCACAGCCCCCCAAACTTCCACACCACAATATCCTTGAAACACATGTTATTCAATCTTGGGATGCACCTTTTTCACATGCACATCTCATTGCTAATTTGATGAATATCTGTGTGTTTTCATGGAATACAGGTCATTTCRCCCAAAAGACCGTTCGGACTGTTCGCACAATTTTAAGAACAAGACAYTTCACACAGAAAATTACAAGTGAGCAAAMTTGTTYTATTGAGATTCTTACTGTACTATAAATAATTTCCTAATTACTAGCTTGAAATAACAGTGTTTCTGAATTTGTATACACAATAGATCGAACACGGTACCGCGGTCGGCGCGTTTTTCTCTTAAACTTAATAATATTAGGATGAAATATCTGAATCTGAATCCGCTAGAAGAAACATGCTAATAGAAACACGCTGAGGCTGAACAAGGAACAAAGTTAAAGAAAACTACACAAAAATGTTTTTACTATAGAATTTGTAGATGGAGAACGTTCAAGAGTTTATTTCTTCCACTGTTTTAGAGGGCGCTATTTCTGAATTATATTCAGATATACAAACTTCAAATCTATGTAAAATGGCTATGTGGCCAAGTAGAGAATAATTGAAATTTGTCGCCTTGCACTGCCTACGGTTTATTGAACTCCTTCGACACGAACTGTGCRAAATGACTATTCATCGATATAAGAATTGTGCGAATGGTTCGAAACTTGGGGAGAAACGACTTGGCCGATAAGTCTTTTGTGTGAAATAACCGGATACCGTTTCATGCATACAACTTAGGGTATAAATTCAGTATTTTTRCAATTAATTTACGCATCATTTCTTGACTTACAGCTGAGATAAACCTTTCAATCGCAAATTTTACCATTTTTTTACTTTTTCAAAGGAAATCACGAGAAATGAAATGATTTTAACTTGATTATTTAGACTAAAAATAAGACATTGATGGCAATTCTCTTCATTTTCATTAAAAATATTAAGTATAATTGGGCAATTCTTTGTTATGGATGCACATTCACAGCCATATCATTAATTCATGTACAGTTTGCTAACTATATGTTTCTTATAATTTCTTTGTTTTTATACCATGGCTTAAGAAACACTTCATATTTACAGAGTTTCAGAAGTGATGGATATCGATCAGTAATTCTATTAAGCACAGTAAGAGTACAAACACTAAACGTTTCATTTATAAATCATTGTACTTGAAAGGTGTCTGYGCCTTTTCTTTGAAGYGAGACAACCATTGAGYGTGCAATGATAGAAACCTTCTTTCACACTTACAGACTATTATTCACAGGTATCTATCATTGCACGCTCAACAGTTGTCTCGCTTCGATGTAAAGGCACGGTTTCCTTTCAAGATGGTGCAGGGAACTGTGAAGAAGACTATTGTATATTGTGTTTTCTATGGTATAACTAACACTATAGTGTATTTGATTCTAAATACAYATGTAGCACTCTTTTACGGTTTGTACTCTGTTAATGTAACTGGGAATGTAATTTGTGTAATTTTAGAAGTGAATTAAACACAATCATGCCTTTATTTATAAGGACCTGTCAGTTGTGAGTGGTCACTTATGGGAGAGGAAAAAACAATGAAAAATTCCAACCCCAAAGGTGCTTATGGTCGCCTACAAAAGTGTTCGCTTACAGGAGATTGWTGCTTACGAGAGTGGTCATTCAAAGAGAGTCAACTGATATATTATTCAATGCAAGGAGCCTCTAGCCGAATTGGCTATCAGCCATGCATGACTAGATTGAGATTTTGCCATGAGTGTGTTGGGAATATCTCATTATATAATGTACAGTTTGCCAGCTTACTCATGACAAATCTTTTTATCTCTCAAAGATAAAATGTGTATCTTCCAGTTACCCAATAATATCCTCTATATGTCATCAAAATCAATTTACTATGAGGGTGTATATAGCTATTTCAAATAAGGTTGTCGGATAAAATGGCGAATGTCAATTGTCGAACGGTGATTGAACGACCGAAAGTAGTCATGAGTTTTGCTGGTGAAATGAAATAACAACTGATTTGTATTTTATGGTCCAGTGTGGTAAACATTGGCTCCATTTAGTTTTCATTTCTATTAAAGGTGAATCCAATAAGTGAAATTTTGTTTATCAAAACAGTGTAACCATAGTCCCTTTCGGTCGTGCAATCTCTCTTCGACAATCGCCGTTCGCCATTCTCCCCGACAACGTTTTTTGAAATAGCTGTAATTAGTACGCTGGCACAACTGCATACTGATTGGCTCAGTTGGTTGAGGATTGACTACAATGCGGGAGGTCGTGGGTTTGAAACCTGGCTGGACCAATACTCAGGGTCTTAAAATAATTAAGTAGAAGTTGCTGCCTTTGTTTCTCCATCTGCAAATGGTAAGATCTTCACATCCTCTCGGATAACGACGTTAAATTGGAGGTCCTGTCTACTCTACTCTAACCCTGTAAGTGGACGTTAAAGAACCACTGAGGACGCAGGTACGACCACCCTCAGTGTCTGTACTTCGGCCGCATAACCTTGAGGGCACTAACACACTAACGCACTAACAAATCTAACCTACTCATGTTTGTAAACTGCACGGCTGCTTAAAGCACCTTCAATAGCAGTCCAAGTCCCTCACTAACTATGTAATCCWGATGTAATTCAGATCATTGGTCTGTGAAATCTGGAAAGTTAGCTACACATATCTATCTTACATGCTGGTATTTAACAAGTACCTTTGGGTCTTCTCCAAATGCTTCGAATTGTGGATCTGTTAACAGTGTCTTGGCTGTTTTAATTATATCACGACATTTCTTGGGAGTTTCTTCAACTTTTCCAGCAAGAAACAGGCAAGCAGCTCCAGTTACCTAAAAACATATAATCCTTTATGTTTTACAATAGGTTTGCCTTTTCTACAGATTTTGTTTACAGACTTTTAATAAACATCAAGATACAATAATGTGTAGTTCCAGAAAATATCCATACCCCCACCAYAGATGATATTTTATTTACAACCCCCTGCCCCCCGCCCCCCAAATGTTCAAATTTTGTCCAAATTTTGTCGCTTCCCGTGATGCATTTCGGTCGTGCATAGGAGTGTATTGTACCAGGTGCTCAAAAGAAGGCTGTTGAGAGGTCTGCAGTGACTTTGACAGAATAAAAACAACAAAATGAGGATGTGCTATCAAAGGGGTTTGCAAGTGAAGTGGACTTTTTGCTATAGGAAAACATGTTTTGATGCTAAAAATTGAGCTGGAAATAAGTGTTTCCTGTAGTCCTCCAAATGCAAATTTTGGCATTCACTTGTAAGCAGAGTACTGTTTTGTGCCTTTTTTACCTCATTGGGAAATTCTTTGAACTTTAAGATCGACAATTTACTAGTGAGTTCGCACTAACAATTTCAGTTAAGTATTTTGGTAACTTATCAATTTTAGACACATCGTTTGAATTCAAACAATATTCTATAGGGCAGTCGCCAGAGGGTTAAATACTCCTGGAAATTCAAAATCAAATGTTTTTATCAGAAGAACAGACGGAGAAATAACAAACTAAAGTGGCTTAGGTGGAACCACAAAGTTTTGCACCACTTGAATTGATATGCGCTTGTATATATCGGGTTGTATACCCATGGACCTTGCAAATTATAGGTTTTAGGTAGCATCTCTGAAATAAGACTCCGATGAAGAACTAGCAGCTGTTTATATATAAATTTGCATTTCTATTACGATCTAGAAATCGATCTTTTCCTCCTCAAAAAATATATTTTTTCAGCAGAGTAAGTCTTACCGGTAAATGTTCTATTTTGGTGTTTTACATAAAGCTCTAAATCCTCTTTGTGGTCATCAATGACAATCTTTGCCAATTATACGATAATCATTAAATAAAGAAGGATTCCTTTGAATTTTTCTAATATCAACCTATCTTTCTTTTTAATCTAAGTATGGTAGTCCTAATTATACGAATAAAATACTATGTACCATTCTTTAAAATAAAATTTCTTAATAGTTAATACATTTATTATCAAAAAATAATAAAAGAAAGCATTATAAACTTAGACCCTGTATGCAGGGTTGACACATGCCCTCTGTTGTACATGATGTTGTGAAATCATTAGTAAATAAGGGCTTAAACCTTATCGATACAAAATATACAAAAATTATTTGATTTTTCGAGCCTTGACAAGATGTATTTCATTTTTGGGATAGAGCGGATTTCATATGAGTGGGAAACGGACAGTACTGTACTGTGACCGTAATCGTACTGTAACCAAATTCTAGTGCCCCATTGTTTCACCAAAATTCTGCAGGCCAGGTGCGGTAACTGTGCGGTAACCGTGCGGTAACCGTGCGGTAACGGTGTCTCACTCATATGAAATCCGCTCTAAGCTTAAAAGTGGTGGCTCCTCAAATTTCAGCTGTATCTTGTGATTTTGCAGTATAATTCTAAGGTCAGATGCATGTATTAAACTAGGCACGAGTTGGTTACAAAGTGACGCTTTATTAACTTTCTGTTATGATGGTAATTGAACACAAAATTTTTGCATAATCTAAAATTAAAACTCAAACATATATCCATTGCAGATGTTTAAATAGCCATAAAATTAATAAGCATTTTCTAAWGAGCTGTATATGAATTCAATCATAACAAGCGAGTAGAGAAAAAAATATTATATAAAATATACAACTAGAAGGGTTTGCGATCATGCCCATTGCCACTGCTTCACGAGTAGTAAGAGTGTCAATTTCTGTATTTGATATCTCCTCGTCATCATAATTCCACATACCCTTGATCATAACACCCAGAYGAGTAATRAGTGCMAGAKTTTGGTCGAAAACCTTCATGTTCTGTCGCATATTCACTAGTAGAGACAATACTCATCAAAGTGGAGGATGAAACACTGTGTATGCAGAATGAGGAACGAGTTGAAAATATGAGTGAAAGAGATCMTGGGTAGGACATAGCGTTCGGAATACACAATGTAATGTGATTGGCTATCAGATTTATATTTAGAATGTGACTGGCTACGAAGATGTACCAAAGACACACTTTTGACATTGATGAAGAACACAAACCAAGAAAGAAACGTATTTTACTACACGTTCCCTGCATAGCAGGTCATGTGTAATTACAGAATAGGAGGAGAAAGAGTTCATGAATTAGATTTGGGTTTCCTGTGTTCAATTTTACTCAGGTGATCTGGAATCGTTGCTTTGCTCATCCGTCTACTGACAGTTGTCACTTGTGTTTTCTTTCTTCAATCAAAAGAAAACTTTTTGTGTAGAAGCTGACTGTTTGAAACACAATGTTCATTTAAATTCATGTCAAATAACTTATTTAAAGAGCAACCAGCGAGTTAGAATACGGTAATAATGCATATCCATTTATTGTAGACTGATTGCTGGTTAACCTCCCACCCCCTCAGGATTTTCAAGTCACTTTAACCCCCACACCCCTCGGAAATCCTCCGTGGTGGGAATATGGATATTTTCTGGAACTACACAATATTACAAATATATACATTATCCTTACTTTAATAGCGGAGCTCCTGCGAGCGGAGCACCATAGCTAAGAAAAAATGGTATACCATCGAGTCGATTTTCCATGGACCGACACAGGGTTCCCGCTCATACGCACGTTTCCGTCCGTCCGTCCTGGATTCCGTGTACCACCACAGGAAACCCATACTCCGCTCGAAAAGGAAACAAAGCGCCAAGTATTTGTTGAAAAATTGAAATTTTTTCCTTAAACATATATATTCCATATTGATAATATTAGAAGAATTAATCACAAGCAAAAAATCCACAGAAGAGCGAAATAACAGCAAAGAAATATTCCCGCCAATTTTGTCATAAYTTCGACGCGTCCGCACATCCGGGAAATCGATTTGCGAAGATGAAAAGCAATTTAGGCCCATCTTAAAAGTGATATTAGAAAAAAGGATTGTACTTTGATATTTTCGACAACAAGAAAGGGAAGATACTTTATTGGAAATACTTCAATAATATGGACCAATATGGGAAAAAGCAGGGATCTATGCGAAGAGATGATACTTTATTGGAAATACTTCAATAATATGGACCAATATGGGAAAAAGCAGGGATCTATGCAAAGTTCTTTTGTCGACTAAAAGTGTGGACATTTTGAAACCAAGACCATGCTAGCAGTTAGATTGAGAGAGATTAAAAACAAAGAATCTACAGTCTTGAATTGATGAAACCTATGCTTGAAACAAGTATGGCTCTGTTGAAGATGACCTTTGAACGATAATTTATCGGAAGTTCGATAATGAAAGGTAAAAAATATATTTTTGTATACAGTTTTCTGTGATATGTGAAGTTCGAGTAGTCCGGGTTCAAACATCGATTATTGAAACAATGTTAATTATTGTAAGCTTATGTAGACTACTTTTTGCCGAGAAGCTTTCAGTTTACTTTTAATTATAATTTTAAACTTCATCCAAACGGAACAAAATCTACCGAAGTCAATATTAATAATAGTACGAACTAAATTCTCATAAACATACTCTTTATAATATTTGTTCGCATGTCAACAAGACTGTTGTAGCTCACATTCCYTAGAACAGAGCATATCTACCTTTGAAATATTAGCAGTTTCAGCTTCTATGACTATATTGCTATTGGAGCTCCGCTATTAGGTGTTACCTAATTTTTATATTATTTGTATAGGTAATATAATAGCATGTTTCATACGTGGAATTTGGGATAAATACCATGCATGATATTTATTTCAAAACTGTCGAACAAAATTTGTGACAATTTTGAAATATCACAAGTCGCGGTATTTTATCCCAAATTCCACATACAAAACATGCTATAATTTTTTTATAAAATGATTGAATAAAATTGTGCAATTTGAAATACAGCTATTAAGGATAAATACCACTCCTCTAAGCCAATCAAATTGCACAATTTTATTCAATCATATTATAAACAACAATATAACATTGTTACATTACATTATGATATCATTACACTCTAGATTTTTGTTGGAGACAAAAAAAAATGAAGACAGATGACAGGGAATTAAATGGGCAATTCATTAAATATTGAGATTTTGGCCTTTTGGAATACATGCTTAGCCTCAAAGTGCAGGAAAAAAGGAAATTCAAATTTGCATGCCTTTGGAAATGGAAAGTGCACTGTGCTCACTCTGAATGGTTTAAAGGGGTACTTGAGAATTGTAAAAATCATGCTCAAATCTGTATCAGTGAAATATCAGACCTCAGTCTGACTTGTACAAACCTCATCAAATCATTCATTACCAATGTACATACTCTATGCTTACCCAACGAGAAAAATTCTTGAAAGACTGTATCATGTAGAATCTGTGGAAATAGACAGCACCTGTAGCCATRGTATCATAACGTCTGATTAAAAGATAAGGATAACACCTTAGACATTCCTACATACTAAACAATAATTACCCAAATATAAGATTCAAGATTGTCTTCTTATGGTGGCCTTAAAATCATTTATAAAATATATTGCTATTACACTACCAATATTGTATGTGTGTTCCAGTATTGAGATTAATATGCTATTTATTTTAATACCTAATTTTAGGCTGAATGCTCGTATTTCAATGTACTGTCATGGGAAGAATACGTTGCTGTAATCCTGGGGGGGGGGGGAGCCTGTTTAAGACAATTTCGTGTGAAATGTATACCCTGTTTAAGACAGCAAGGCCAAAAACCATACCCTGGCCAGCGGCATAGTACCAAATACATGTGTATGGGAGTACCCCCCAGGGCTGTAATAACTACTTTTATGAGTTGTTCAGYTGATATTAAATTTATGGACGTTTATCCCTTTTAATATACAAAATCAATGTTTATTTTAGACTAATTGAAAGTTTTTAAATAGATCAAAGTACAAAAGACAAAAGAGGATACAGTCCCATCTTGTTTCCACACTCCACAATGAACCTGGTGCCTTCCTTACGGTAGCGACACTCGGTCGAGTAATCAATGCCATCTAACCGGGAAGGGGTCCGAAGAAGACCCTCTTGACTAAACAACCAGACAGGCATAGCGGCAGGATTTTGATTACCAATATGTTACACTCAAGTCGATGACAAGTTACTTTTCCATGTCGCACGCCATATTGAATTGGCCGAGAGGGAATGGAAAACTTACTTTCAAACAGCTAGCCCAAACAAGTGCTAGATTGGGCTCATCGCTCTAGTGCTGTTACATACTGAGGTGTTAGCTGTATAGATCGTAGGGAAAATGTGAAAAAACTCTTTCTATTTGATCAAAGTGGTATTCTAGTTCTTTTCGCATATTTTCAATCTTTTTTTACATTTGTTGAAAAGTGGTTTTCCTGTGGTAACTTACCACTGAGTAGGCTTGGGGCTAGCTAAGATGCATGTGTGTGTTCAACCTCCATTTTGGTATCGTGYAACTCATGAGTCGATGAATGTTAACTTGCTGTAGCTTCAAAAGTATTAACTGATCATGAAACAGTCTGTAACTATCGGAAAAGGAGCTTTAATTATCTGTTAAGGTAAGTGTGCACGCAGCAACGTATTTGTTTTTGATACTGATCATAACGATGTTTSAGTGGGCGGGATGCTGGGTGACAATGGAGAAAATGTGAAATACGATTAAGAAATGATTTCGTTTGAAGGAAAATCCACCAAATCCTCTTTTGCTAAGCCAAAAATGTCGCAGATGTAGTGGCCTTTGATTTGAATTGTGCAAAATAGAGCTAGACTATAGTATACACCCTTTTAACACAGGAAAAAAATTCCAAAAAATCGGTAAACCACTACCGTTCGAACGGCGTTTCTGATTGGTTCTGACCAATTTGTGGTTGTCAGAAGTTGTACCCAATCACATTGGGCAATTCAGTCATGTGAGTTTGTATGAAACATGTGACCAGAACAGCTTCCCGTCAAATTTCTCACGTTCTCTCGAGTTCTGAGCGCAAATCTACACTACAAACAAGTAATATTCATTCAAAATATTAATTCTTCACCAACATCGCTTCTTCACCATCGTTGAAAAGTTATCGGTAGTTAGGTAAGTTTGAAACTTTGAATTTATTGCTTGAAATTAGTGTATTGCGTTGCAAATCAGTGAAGTCGCAACGGTCGTCACGTAAACTCGCTCTCACTTGAATATTCCTTTTTTTTTGTTTCTAGTTCATAATTTCAAAAACTCCAATAAGTCGTCAATGGAAGAGCCGCAATGGAATTGCAATGGTGAGTAAAGATATATCTAAGCTAATCTTTGTGATTCAAATGTACATTTGATTTATCACACCTTTGACATGAAAACAGTTTTTGTCAGTCAAAAAACCCTCATCCTTCAAGGCCGATTTATTAGACGGCACAACTTTTGCATACAATCGCATGAAACCTGCTCGAGCTTACTAGCGTCACGACGTAAGTCAGAATTACACGCTTACGATATTATGCCTACCACTCGCCTAAATCGTGCACGACTCATTGTGGGCTCATTGTTCAAACTTTCACAAAAAATCGCTGAATTGCAACACTCCTAGCGTTTTTTTAAAAGTAGTCTTTATTACTTCAATTGAAAAGCATCTAATCTTTTGCTCTATAGACTAATTAAATGCTCTAGTTCCTCGTCTGTGAAGTTTTACACTCCAATATCTGATCGTGTTCACGCAAATAAGTTCGAAAAACTGTTAGACTAGATTTAAAGCTTAAACACGAAACACAGGCTGGCGTCGTAGTTTAAATTAAAGTAAAATTTGTAAAACTAAAATTTGCATGTATTCTTATAGAGTAATTCAAAATGGACAAATCGGGGCACTGGAAAATGTCCAAACTGCAGCAGTACTTATAGCACGGCTTGGAAACCAAAAAATTGCACATCATGTAATTTTGAACTTGGCGGCCATCATGTCCCCAAGCCCAAAAAGGCAAAGCTGGAAAACCCAAGTGCTGTTGTTGTTCATGACAACATATATTCAGTGCGAAGTAGCCCAAGAGGAGAAAGGTGTTTTGTGGTGAATGAACCTGACAACAAGTTTTGTCACCATGAGAAGTGCAAGCCATTTAGAGGTATGGCAGTGGTCAGTTCTACCCCAGTTGCTGAGTTTAGGTGCCCACACTTGGACATGACAAAAGATTCAAGTTCTCATGCACCATTTGGATGTTGGCAATTGAACACAGATGCCATAGCCAACTATAAATGTGATGAAGAGACCAAACAAGAGCTGCACTATGTAATGGAAAAATGTATTGACCAGGGTTGGCATTCTGTCATACAAGTAGCAACCAAAGTATATGCTGTTTTTTGGCGACCTAGTTCATCATCCCCTTTAGGATTTGTGCACATAATGCTGACTAAAGAGGATTGCTACAAATGCGGCTCAAAGGATTGCAAGTCTATGTATGTTGGCTCATCAAAGCAACAGAAGACAAGGAAGCTATGTATGCACATGCATGTGCTTCTGTGTGCTCTAATGCCACACAGTACTGCATTAGAGTCTACATGTGCACATAACTTGCCATGCAGCTCTTCTAGTTCATGTAATTTTCCATTGCCATCTGCATCTAGCAGCATACCAGCTTAAACCTACTCTTCAAAAACTAAACAAGATTCTACAATCAAACTGAAATCATCATGCCTCTATCTTCCATACCCAATTCCATTGGATTATATAGAGGAAGCAAAGAAAAGAGATGCTGCTACAATTTTAGGTTGTGAAGAGGTAATAATACAATTTTTAAAGTCATATTATGTTCCAATTATATATTAATCGTATACAGCCTTTTGCACAAATTATGAGACATTTTTATATATATAAATAATATACCTAACCAAATATCAAAAACACCCCAGAAATTATGGTATATCTCTATTATATTTTGTCATGATTGCCTAGCATCAGGTTGTTACAGACAAAATATCAGCGAACGGTATCCCATAATTTCTTGGGTGTTTTTGATATTTGGTTAGGTATATTTGTATATATAAAAATGTCTCATAATTTGTGCAAAAGGCTGTATATGTGCTGATGTAAATTATGTACTTTAAAGATATGTTTCCTGTAATTTATTTGTTTTTATACAGGGTCAGTGGCCTGTAGAGTTTGAGCCTGGTGACCTGTTTTGTAAACTGTGCAATGGGGTGCTTGGTGAAAGGAAGATACATCCAGGAAGTGATGGAGAAGGCCATGTGATGACAAACAGCAATCCTTTTCATTGATGTAAAATTTTTGTTAAGTCATGTAAAAACAGAGAGTGTTCAGCTATAACACAAGTTGTACCTCACAATCTCGGTAAGATACTTGTGGCCTATAAAATGCACTCAAAAATAGCAAACTGGTTTATTCATAGTCTCTTGTTTTTCTGAAGAAATTATTCCTTCTTATTATCTCAAAAGCTACAGTCTTTCATCATTCACTTTTAAAAGTCCAGAATTGGATAATTATTTGTTTGAATTGAAAGATGTTTTTCTGTTGTTCAGGGCTCTTTAATGTGTGTGACAAAGTTCTCATTGCTTTTGAAGTCTTGGTTGAATGGAGGGAGGCCTTCAAGAGAGGAGTGCCAGTGTCTTCTGCCATTGAAGCCAAAATTGATGCTTGGAAAACTTTAACACCCAAGGTACATAACAATATTGTCTATCAATATACAGTATAATGGTGGGAACTAGCGGTAAACTAGTGTGAGCTGCATCGGCTTTTCTAAAGACACAGTTGTGTAAAAAAGATAAAATAATTTAACACCGTAAAAAAGTATGTGGAATAACTTACTGACGTAACGGCAATAATATACAGTATACTTCTTCTTGTTCAGTGCATCATATCAATTACCAATGTTACTAATTATTTTTTTCCTCTACCGGAATATTTGAATAGCATATTTAATATTATTGATGCCATTGATATTGTCACAATTTAAGTCATATATCTGATTGGTGAAAATATATTTGACCAAAATAATTTCATTTATACCATTAAAAAATATTATTCCAGGAATGCCAACCAAGTTTGTCAGCACTACAGCATATTTCTAGACTTCTCTATGATGGATTTTATTGCTTCGAGATGATTTCTGTGAGATCTTTAGATCAAGTCATTTGTGGCTATTGTGGTATTATTGGAGAATTGTATATGGGAGATGGTAATCAAAAGAACTGCTGTTCACTGAAAGGGGTTAGTACAATTAATTTTATAAACTTTTCAGCATTTTATGAATTTTGTGTCAAGTACATGAGCAAATTGCTAAAAAATGTTAATTTCCAATAACCAGGTTAAATATAGTGACAGTGACACAGAAGGGCAAGCTGACCTCCCAAGCTTGGAAGACTTTTTGTCTGCCTTGAAAAGTATGTGGATCGCAAAAGCTACCTTTTCCAATTGGTCTGGTGTGGAAAACCTTGATCTGTCTGTTAGCAAAATCCCCCCTATCATTGCTCCTGCCTTGAGAGGTGATAAAGTCTATAATACTGAATCAAAGAAGAAAAGCGTGTATCTGAAAGGAAGGACTAATATTGAAGGTTAGTCTGTGCCTTCTTTGCATATAAATATGTGCCTTCATTTTGGTAGTGGCAATATGGTGTTATTCATTGGACAGGTGTGTTTGATAATTATTGTTTTGAAATGTTTTCAGGAGATTCAGCACTTCTTCATCAAATTATTACAAATGAAAATTTGAACATGTCCTCATTAGAAAGTTTAACTGTAGAAGAGCTCAAAAGAATTGCAGGTTTTTGCAAAATCCCTATTTTGTCCTCTTATTCAAAGGTAATACTTCATAACAAATGGAACCTCTCTTAAAATTCCGATGAAGGTCCATGTTAGTGGATAAAATGTCTAATTTCAAAAAATATATATTATTGCATCCATGCCTTGTTTTTTTTTCTTTCATATTCAACATTTTTTGATGTTATTTTGGTCAAGTTATTTCGACATATCCATCATGTAAGCAAAGTGTGATTCCATCCTCTTCATATCTTTTTTTAGAGTTTGGTGATTGCCAAAATTACAGCTCTTTATGAGTACCTTTTGGTTGGAAATTCACCATGTCATGGTTTCACCAAGGTACCTGGGCACACTGGCGGTTTCTATCACTTTGTCTGTAGACATGGTGTAAGTAAAGTAAATGTGTATGCATGATCATATTGCTTCATATTTAAGTTAAATATATCTTAATTAACATTACTGAGATTACAGTATTTATGCGTGTGTTGATTTGTTTTCCTAGTGTACTGTTGGATCGAAATTCCTCTTGCTGCAAGAGTCAGTAAGGGATGCAGCAGATATATACATGTCTCTGAGATTTCCACCACCTTTGTTTATTTGTGACACGCCATGTGGCTTTGCACGTCACATGGATGTCCAACATCCCACACTTGCCAGAAAACTATGGAATGATAGAGTTGGATGCTTCGAAAAGCCAACACTGGATAAAACACCAGGCCATGTATGTATAAATTTTACTTGTTGTGACTATGGGCGTGACCACTACTTTCAGAACTAATTTGTAAGCCTATTAAATGAAGGATGGTTCACAAATTAATGATATGAAATTTCTTATGGTAAATTACTAATATGTTGTTTTTAATTTATTCATATAAGGTAAGCAATCCAGCACTTGTCCCCTTGGAGTATCGTAGCGAAAACATGGTTCTTCCTAGTCCAGACACACTTCAAGAATTGGTACACCCCATCACTGGATCAGCACAAAGATTTGTAGCTCAGGATCGATTTCATGCCACTGCCGAGCCACATAAGTCTCCCTTGTGCAAATTTCATGACATCAATAATTGGGAGCAGGCCAATACTATCAAAACCAGTCAACAAGAATCCGAAAACCATAGGAAAAATTTTTTGAGGTTGCGAAGCTCTACCATGCAAACTTTTCCTGTGCATTTCACATACAATTTTTTAATGGATTTCTATCATAATGAGCAGATAGTACAAAAGCAAAGACAAGAAATCCTCTCAAGAAGTAAAGAAAAAGGTGCGAATGGCAGTCAGATTTATAGAGATGTGTACAAGAGATTTATGTTAGTTTGATGTTAATCAAAATTGCATTATTATATTAAAATAACATTATATTACTTGTTCTTCTGAACAATTTGAAACTGAGATCCTCTGGTCAGTCTAAGAACAAATCCATTCAAGTTTTGACTGGGTAATGTTTAAGCCAAAATTTATCCATTTGTCATACGATGTGTACAATTCAACAGCGATATAGAGTACTCAAGTGTGATAACAGAAAAAGACTTGAGATCAAATAGACATATCCATATGGGTCTAATAATCATGAAGCAAATTTCGTGTTGTGACATCATCACTTGAGTACACTTTAAATTATCTGAAATACTAAAAAATATGTCAATTTCAAGTTTTTTGCAGTCTGTTTGCAAATGTTTGCACTTAAATGTTATTGCTACTCTCTATTTGTGTTGGCTTTAAGACAATGGAAATTGGAAAAGAGAAATAATTAACATGCAATGCAAGAAACTGGTAAAAGCAATTACTTTTATTCACCAGGCCAGTTTGTTAAGTTACAGTTCAGTTATTGTTATCTACATGTGCAAGCTTTTCAATTTTTCAAACCATTATAATCCTTTTAACTGTGCAATATTTGTTGTAAATTGAAAACACGTCAGTTCGAGCTAAAACAATTGATAAAGCCTTATTTGGGTTCTTCGCATTCTCAGATTGACCAAGATTGGACTTTTTTGCCTTTCAAAAACGCTTTGAAATGATGTCATTATAAAGAGTGTGCACACATAATCGACCAAATTGATTGAATATTGATGCACACTGGCAATAAGAATGACTGTCGTTAATGACTTTTACATTATTTACAAGAATTTGGATATTTCAGAATTTATTACTATCACTTTTTTATTCTAACAATAAAACAAAGTAATGTCTTTATTTCGATATTACACAAAGTAATGTCGTTATTTCGATATTACACAATCATATTTTAATATTTTCATTGAAATTAAGATTCATACATGTGTCTTATAAACCTGACTTTCCTAATAGGTTTGAAAGAACTTGATGTATTTTTTTTGAATGCGTTTTTGTAGAACTTAATGTACATGTTACAAAGTTATGTACACAGTTCAGTTATTGTTATCTACATGTACAAACTTTTCAACTTTAAAACATTATAATCTTTTTAACTGTGCATATTTATTTGTTCTACAAAGGTGCTTTTTGTAAAAAGTGTCTAAGTGTAACGGTATGCATTATAAATTCCTCATCCTTATTTTACAAGTTCAGACACTCAATAAAATATTGAAAGTATAATAAAATCTGATTTTTTTAGTTAACAAACATCCTACTCCAAACATCTTAGATTTTACAGTTAATTCACAATGCATGACTTTGTATTTCATATCAATATGTACATTTTTAGTATACTTCGTTTGTGAAGGCTCACCAGTCTTTTTTTTTAATTTGAATGCATGGCAATTAACAATTGTTTGTTGTGGGAAAACCCGGGATATTTTGCATGTTCAGCTACTTTTTTCAATGTTTTCACAAGATTTACAGAGCCATTCTTCATCTGCTTTTGGTAAAGCAGTTAATCCAGAACAATCCCTATCAAAAATGAAAAAAATCAAATGAATTATAACAAATGTAAGCATATTGAAATGTTTGACAAACCAATGAAATTAAAAATGCTATTCAGGTGCCCCTTCCTTAAGATAACTAAGGCAACAACTTTGTTGACAGTTGAGGGGAACTATGGGCGTAAATTGTGCTAAAGATTGCACATTCCATTTTAACAAAAGGGGATCTCACTTTCATTGCAGTTGGTGAAAATATTTTATAATTATAATACTTACAGGTGAAACCAATTTTTGCACTTCACACATTCAACCCATACAATGTCTTTCTTTCTCTTCTTATTGTTTTTTGGTGCAGGTGATGTCCTCTTGCATTCATGGCACAAGTCATCTTCATTATCTGTCAAGAATAAAACAGTTTTTTTCTTAGAATATGAGAAATTGCACTATCAAAACTGAGTATCATCAATACTGGATATGATATAAGAAAGCAATTAATTGCAGATAAATAGCAATTTGTGAAATATGATTGTACTAAGAGAAGTCAGGATGAGCAGTTTAATTCACCTTGGACTACAGGTAGCACTCCAATTGTGCCTTCTGCAAAAAGCCTTCGAGGGCGTCGACTGTCACTGGTCTCATTTTCTGTGAATTAATGTAACAGGCACTTTTTGAGAACCATTGCTAATGTTAATGGTGGATCCCCCTATTTGGCACTTACACTTATTAGTGTTATTTGTACTTCACAATACACAACATACTATAATTCAGATGTGTAAATGAAATGCTATTGGTTGAAACATACCTGTGATTCCACTTGTGGAAGGCCCATCTAGAGGATCAAATGCAAAAAAAAAAATTGAATTTTTTTTCTAAGTTCAAAAATGCTGAGCAAACATAGATAACATATTGTTTTTGCAATACCAACCTTCAGTGTTGTCTATGGGAAGCATTGTAGCATTGGTTTCCAACCTTCATTTTCCTGACTTGAATCCCTGTAATTATTAAATAATGTATTTACTTTATGGAATGGGGCCTGATTTTGAAATTAAATTAAAAATTTTTTTGTACCTCTTCAAACACTTCACGCCGTCTTGGTGTGTACATCATGTACTTTCGTTTTGAAGTGGGTGTTAATTCCTATGGCAAAAGAACATAACACTAATTCAGAATTTTGTCTTTTATTTGTTCCTTAAATTTCAATAAGAAAAATATGAACATATTTCAAGAACCTGAACTATTGTATTAATGGAGTTTTCCCCTTCAGTTTGTGCTTCATGATCCTCTGGTATTTCAGAATGCATAGCTAGGAAAAATACGTATACCAATTATTTTTTTTATCTAGTTGATAGACAATTTTTAAAAAGCAAAAGAAAGTAGTTTCAGCTACATACTAGATTACATGACTTTGCAAGAGTTAATAAATATGAATCATATGAGATATGCAATATAAATTAGATTGATTAGTTAATGTATAAAATGTATACCTAGCTCATGTATTTGACTTGAAATCTTTTCCAGTGTTTTTTTGTTTTCTTCTGATAGAGCTGGTTCACCACTTTCTTCAGTTTCCATTGCATGGTATCGCTCGCTGGGTTTCAATTGTGTAGCTCCACACTCTATATTGACATAAATTAGCTTAATTTTAGAAGTTCATAAAAAAAGCATTTAATTGAAGAAATTTTAGATTTTGAATTTCTATATGCACAGTATACCCTATATGTAACATTTGAAGTTTAAAAATACCATTTCACTTTCTCATAATAAGATGGTGAAATTTTCAACTTCAATGCATGAAATGGGAGGGAGAGACTATATGGCTTAAAGTTGTTGCTTTTTTGGATTCGTTATTAATATTTTTTCACTTACTGTAATCAATTTGTGCTAGAAGTCTCAAGTCAAGTTGCGACCTTGGAATGCGAAAGGCTTTTGCACCGTGAACTTTGCCTTTCACTTTTTTCTTTATTTCTTCCAAAGAAGTTGCGTCTGACATGGCAAAGGGCAAGCTTATGGTTTTCCTCCCCATGTCAGATATTTTATCAAGTTCGTCTTTTACTTCCTGTTACAATAGAGAAAAGAAATATGTTGAAATTTTACATTTTACACACATTTTATATAATTATTACATGTAGATACACATATGATATATCATATGAATTTTTGAACTTGCCTGCACAGACACTGTTGAAAAGTTATGGACAGAGCAAGAGCAGATGGCTACTCCTGGCACAAAGCGCCCATTCACCTTGAGGTTTACTAATGGATTTATCCAGATTAGGGCAGATTCCTGAAATTTTGCATTGTACAGAAAATCGAGTTTACATAAATCATCATTTCAATTATACACATTACTTAATTATCATATTAATTCACCTCGTCTTGATCAAGCTTTGCCTGAATGGCTAACTGCATCCTTTCCCAAAAGGGCTGCACCTTGGAATGAGTAGCAACAGATGTTGCAAATTTCCTTATTGGCTCAATAAGAGAAAACTCTTCTCCAGCAGTTGAATGGAACTGTGTTGAATTAACAAAGCAATATTGGATTACAGCAAGTCAGAATTTGAAAAAAAACCTTCAACCCATCAAAATGTATCCAACTTAATAAGCTTTTATTTACTACCCTGAAACCTACTGACCTGCCAAAATAATTATGCCAAATGTTAGACAATTTTGAGATCATTGCACTTACCAAGGCATAAGTGAAGAGGACAAGGAGTACTCCCTTGTACCAGCGTGGCTGCTGGCCCTTTATTTCACATTCCAACACATGTTTAATCTTAGTTATGATGTTAAAGTGGTCTGCATCTCCCTGAACCCAAATGCCTCTGTAAAGAATTGACCATGCCAGAAGAAATCCCTGTGATTCAAAGGAATTCTTAAGTTACTTCTTAAATGTTACTTTAGATTCTATTTCATTCAACAATCATCTTTTGATCAATTTCAGTTTTTTTCAGTATAGCTTTCAAGCTATTTTCTAAGTCATGTGTTAATTAAATGTTGGCTGGTTTGATCTTGATAATAAATTATTTGTGAAAAGAATAATATAATACTGACAGTTTATCACTTGCCTTGTGCTCCTTAACTAAGTCCTGGAGCTCATAAAATGCTGACTCATGTCTAGCGCCAAATGATTGATCCTTTACATAGTCAAATCGCAAAACACGACCACAGAGTCTGAAATATTCAAAAATATTTGCCATTCAACTTGATAGCTGAATATTTTAGTATGTAATTTAATAACCCAGTCT